AAAGAGAGAAGTGATAACACAATTCATAAAAAAATATAAAAAAAATGAGCTCAGCACAGAAAATTATATGGAACAAAGAAATCAGCAACACCACAAAAAAGCACATAAAAAAATGATAGCAACAAATTCATACTTATTGATAAAAACACTGCCAAAAGAGTAAAAAGAGAACCTATAGATTGGGAAAAAAAATATTCAACAGCAACATATCTGAACATATCTGACAAAGGACTTCTCTCTAGAATTTATAAAAAACTACAACACCTCAACAACAACAACAAAAAAAATCAATTAAAAATTGGTCAGAAGACATGAATAGACACTTCACCAAAGAAGATATTTATGCAGCCAGCAAATACATTAAGAAATGCTCACTATCATTAGCCAGTAGAGAGAAGCAAATGAAAACAACAATGAAATACCATCTTACCCCAGCACTAATAGCAAAGTTCAACAAGACAGAAAAAAGCAAATGTTGGTGAGGATGTGGAGAGATTGAGACTCTCACATATTGTTGGTGGGACTGTAGAATGACAAAACCATTGTGGAAAGCAGTTTGGCAATTCCTTAAAAAGCTAGAATCAGAAACATTTGACCCAGTATCCCATTACTAGTTATATATCCTAAAGAAGTGAGTGAGAGCCAGGACAAGAACAGATATCTGCACACCCTTGTTCATTGCAGCACTATTTACAATAGTCAAAAGATGGAAACAACCTAGGTGACCATCGACAGAAGAACGGATAAACAAATAATGGCACATACACACAACGGAGTACTATGCAAGTTTGGGCTTTAGTATACTAAAGTATAATGCAGAATCTGCAAAACACTGCATGGCATTGATGAACTTGGAGGAGGTTATGCTGAGGGAAATAAGTCAATTACAGAAGGACACATATTGTGTGAGTCTATTATTATAAATAGCCAAGGAAAGATTTACACAGGGAAGGAAATTTCCTTGTTGGATACCAGGGATGGGGGGGAGGGAGGGAAAATAGATGGATAATTACAAAACAATTTTGATACTGGTGAAGGGATAAAAATAAATAAAAATAATAAATTTAACAAAATAGAGGATACTTTTCTGAAAATTCACAAGGATGCTCACTGGTAAGTGTAGTGCCTAAGGCACTTGACTGCTAACCAGAAGGCTGGTGGTTCAAACCCACCAGTTACTCCTCGGAAGGAAGATGGGGCAATCTACTTCCGTAGTGATACTGCCTCGGAAACCCAAGGGGGGTCGCTATGAGTCGGGGCCGAATAGACGGCACATAACAATAACAACATGCTATTATTATTATTACAGCTATTATTAAAGGATTCTTTACAATAAGGGAAACCATATTCTGTAGGTTATTGTTTCTACTGTTCCAAAACTAACACTCTGTGAAAAGGTACATATACGTGTAAGGAAGGCAAGTTAAAATTAGAGAATTACATGCATATTTGTTTTCCTGAATATCAATATTAATCATAGAAATAGCTAACATTAATTAAGAACTACTCTGTACCTGAACTATGCTAAGAAATAAATATATATTATATTATTTAATAATTTTTATCTGATTTATTATTTTCATTTTTCAGATGAGTTAAGGAAGCTATAGTGGGGGTAAGCACCCTGCCTGAGATTACCTACGAGTAAATGGGGATGCTGGGACATGAATCCAGAGAGTATTCTAATGCTGGAATTTATGTTCTCGAGACCCTGAGAGTGCAGGAAGCAAGGAGAAAGAGAATATATATGTGTTTGTGTGTGTGTGTGTGTGTGTGCATGTATACATGCATATACTGTCCTCTCATTTATATAAATGTGGATATACATGCATAAATACACACATGTGCTATAAATACTTTAGTCAAGTTATTATTTATCCATAACATTACTTAACCATTCAGTTAGCAAAATATATTGTTGCTTCTGTGTAGCTTGATAATTACTGCAATTACTTGCAAAGGAGAAGAAAGGGGCCCATGACTTTTTTAACTAGCACTGACAGTGAAGATAGTATAGGGCTTTCACTGTGGTGGAAAGAGAGAGTCCAGTGGCAGTGACTTTGAATGACAGGTTTGAACATAGATATTTAAAGTGTTTGGGCTGTAGTTGTTGTGATGTGCCCTCGAATCAGACCTGACTCAAAGCGACCCCTCCTTGGGTTTCCGAGGCGATATCACTACGGAAGTAGGTTGCCCCATCTTCCTTCCGAGAAGTGGCTGATAGGTTTCAACCGCCAGCCTTCTGGTTAGCAGTCAACTGCCTTAGGCACTATGCTACCAGCACCCTTTCCACAAACTTCTGAAGAAGGATTCCTGTCTTCAGGGTCTTCCTCCTCCATTCCTGCTTTCTCTTTACAGCACAAACTTGGCCCAGGATCTGTCTGACACACATCCTCCTGTGGTTCCAGTAGCAGGAGTATGTGTGGAGTTATTACCAATACAATCTGGCTCTTCCAGTGTTGTAGTCAGTTATCATTGCTGGCTTGTCTCCCCATTAATTAGGCATTTGAGACTGATTCATCTTTTCTGAGACCCTGTGTCTTTCATGATGTTACCATTCCTTTGTAGAATAAAATATGTTCCTACCTGCTTGCTCTAAGCATGATTTATTGCTCCTTATTCTGTTTCTTTTATACTAACTCGATTTCTCTCCTAGTGACTTTTATTATTTATTCCATCTGTCTCCTTCATTAGGTTGTGAGGCCGTAAGACCCAGATGACCATAACAGTTTATGGTGAGGTCTTGTACATACAAGAAGTTCTATCAGAACAACAATAAATGACAGCGAGCATTCATAGATTTTGACATTATATTTGTAGAATATATGCTTCAAAGCTTAGATGATATAATAAAATAAAGTAAATAAAGTTTTAAAGGAGCAATGAAGTAAAATTTTGCTAAGAGAACAGAAAGTATTAAATGAAGGTAAACTTAAGGCTCTATTCAACATGTAATTCATGACTAGGAAAAGTATTGAATTTTTCTGACGAGCAATGCAGTTTATTAACATTTTATATTGTCAAGAAAGTTAAGACCAATTTAATGAAAAATAACTTTGCAGTTTCTCAAAATTCTTCAGTGTCTAGTTACAATTTTTATGCCAATGTTTCAATTTAAAGGGATGATATAAAAATAGAAATATCTTCAGTATAAATAGAAAAAATATTTGCTAACTACTAACTGCGTCCTCACACAACATTTCTCAGCCTTCTGTTGCTACTTCTAAATGCACACACCACACACTCTTGTCACACACTCTTGTTTCAAGTCTTCCTGTCTCTCTGGATGAAACACTCTTCCCTCCACTGTTAACCTTCATGTTCTACTCACCTTTCAGCCAACTGTTTGAAATACAATTCTTTAAAGGACATTTCCTGGGCTTACCAACCAATTTTGATATAATTCTATACTTACTTTTCTTAATGACACTTACAGTAATTTGTAGTTCTATATTTACTTGTAAAATCATTCAATAAATATATTTCTTTATCACCCTTCCTACATATTGCATGCTCCAAATCACTAAAAATTACTTTACAGTCTGCTTATCACTGGTCTATATTTCCATACATTAAAAAAATTGTTATTTTTTACTGCCATGGAGTCAGATCCTAGACACAGTGACCCTCCTTGGGTTTCAGAGGCAGTATCACTATGCAAGCTGATTGCTCAACCTTCCTTCTGAGGAGTTGAGTGGGTTTGAACCACCAGCCTTCTGGTTGACAGTCAAATGCCTTAGGCACTATGCCACATTAGCTCCCCACATAAATGTTATATTTTCTATTTTTATCCTACAAGATAGAATAGGAACATCAATGAGTACAAGGACAATAATTCCTCCTTTTGGCTTTCTGAGGATATCCTGGTAGCGAGCCATGAGACTGTATTCTGTGAAACTGGGAGTAAATATCTTTTAAGCATCCAACTAGGAAACAAGGAATCCTGGTTATATTCATGAAATAATTATAATTTCCAAAACACTTTCAAAATAGGAGATTAATTGTAACATTCTGGATGTTTATGATGATACATCTATGTACCTTTTTATAAGAAAATGATTGAAGATACCAGTGATTAATCTGTTGACGATTTTCATTACAGAAAACATATATTTCAAAGGCTATATGTAGAATATTTTGAGATTACACTATTTAATAAATTCTTAGGAGCATTTTTTCCCCCACATTTTCACATCTCTGAAATTGGTACACTTGTAGATGTGTGAATAGTTTGGTTGAAAATTTCTGGTAAGGCCTTGGAAGTGGAAATGCCAGTGTCTTTTTGATTCTAAGAATTAGAGCTGTATAGGCACACATGAAGATATAAAGTCAAGCTATTATTTTAAAATAATAAATTACACCTGTAAGAGTCATTGTCCTCCTTTTTTTTTCATTTCTGATGTGGAAGAATATTTTGGTGATCCATTCAGTGGGTGAAAAATCAGCTGAATTAAAGCAAACAAACAAATATGCTATTTAAAATCTGCAAACACATTTGTATGTATTATTTAATTTCATCATCATGACCACTATTCAAGGAAGAGGGGAGATTTTGTGTCATTCCATTATAGAAATTAAAAAACTGAGTCTCCTGTGTTTAATGATTTAGTAGTAACATTATGAGTAAGAGTTGAATCTAGACATTTTGTTGTTGTTGTTCTTAAGTGTGGTCAAGTTAGCTCTGACTCACAACGACCCTATGTACAACAGAAGGAAATGTTGCTTGGTCCTGTGCCAGCCTCACAATCCTTGCTATACCTGAGTTCTAACTTCACTAGTATTCACATTTAAGTAGGAAAGATGTGTTAGCTATAGACTTTGAGGCTTAGGTTTTTCACTGGCTTAGTCATTTGTAACTAAGTTTAATAATGTCATAGAATCTCATCTTGATGAATGTGGCATATCTCATGAATCTGTCAAATGACGCTGTGGATTGACCATGTGCTGAGCTGGCAGAATGAGTTGCTGTATGTCAGACTGTAACCCCAGACTTTCCTTAGGACAGTGACCTGCTGGACCAGCGGAAACACTGCTTCACCGTGCAGTCCGAGTCTGGGGAAGACCTCTACTTTTCCGTAGAGCTCAACTGTGACCTTGCACAATGGGAGCGAGCCTTCCAGACAGCAGCCTTCCTTGAAGTGGAGAGGATACAGGTGAGGGTAGCTGCAGTTTTAAGATCTGTTGGCCCTCAGATCCCAATAACCATTCTCCTAAATTTTTAACATAAATTCAAATTATTTAAAACTGCTTTTCTTAGTCTTGACTTTTTTTCTCGGATACATTCCATAATAAGCTATTGCTATTAAATTATTAAGGAGGTCTGTTGATGTAGTGCGTAAGGCATTTAACTTCTAACCAGAATGTTGGCAGTTGGAACCCACCCACCACTCCAGGGAAGGAAGATGGGGCAATCTACTTTTGTAAAGATGTACTACCTGGGAAACCTAATGGGGATCACTATGAGTCAGAATTAACTCCTTACCAGTGAAGGTTTTTTTTTTTTTTTTGTATTGAATGAATAGTAACAAAGTTCTGAATTAAATTTTAATCTTCACAGTTTTATATGTCCAGGCTATTTCCTACCACATACCAAAAATGTACTTGTAACTTTAATTATAAAATGCTATAATTTGAATCTAATACAGGAAGTGCTCTGTTTTAAACTCATTGCTTACCAGACCATTTCCTGTTCTCTCAAAGTGACCCCCTGATTCTTGCCTGGATGCCTCCATTTTCTCACTCTGCTCAACCTTCTGCCTTCTCTCTCCCTTTTTTCTTTTTTTTTTTTAATTATTGTTATTTTTATTTGCTTGGAAGTTTACAGACCAAATTCATCTTCCATACAGCAGTTCATACACATTTTGTTTCATGGCATTGACTCCAATTTCCCACAACGTAGCAGTTCTTTTCCCTCTTCCTCCCTGTAGTTACCTCTTCCTGTGTCCTTCCCTCCCATGTACTCTCTCCCACCCCCAGATATATCACTGTACAAACTGCCCCTCTGTTCTCCCAGGATTGATCACTCTAAGGAGTGTATCTACCTGATGTAAATGTTCACCTCATATGCCTGTCTATTGTTTGGTTGGAAGCCACAGGAGTGAATTCAGTTCTAGACTTGAAGGGTAACTAGGGGCCATAGCCTCAGTGGTCTCACCAGGATCTATCAAACCAGCAAAACTGAACTTATTTTTTGAACTTATTTTTTTATGATTTTGAGTTTTGTTCCACATTGTTCCCCTACTCTATCCAGGATCTCCTGAACCAATTGCTCTCCAAGTTGTTGATAGTAGTAGTCAGCAGCCATCTAGTTCTGATCTCATAGTCATATAAGCTGAGGATCACATGTCTACTAGTCCTTGAACTAATTATTTGCGTGTGTATTTGCTTTTGTTCACTCTTATTTGCTGTAGACAAGGAGAGACCCATTGATTCATCTAGATGGCTGCTTGCAAGCTTTTAAGACCCCAGTCACTACTCACCAAAGTACACTGTAGAACAATGCTCTTATGTAGTGTGTTATGACAATTGAGCTTGATGTCCCCTGCAACCAGGGTCCTGAGCCCACAGGTCCAACTACTCACTCCCTCAGGTTAGCTGGCTGTGGCCAAGAAGCCACAACAACCCTGTCCCTTGTCACTTCTACTATACACCTAGACATTCTTACAACACATACAAATATGCTTGTAGAAACACCATCTGCCAATCTAATACTTGATCACGGGCACACTCCCTGCTGCCTAGACATACCTGATCGTTCTGACTATCTACCCATCTATTCATCCATAGATCAATGCTTACCATCACTGATAATGTAGTAGTGTACATGCAAAGGGGTTGATCTTTGTTGTCTGTACCCCCTGAGTACCTTTCTGTGTCTTCCTTTTCCTCATTGCCATTGTGTTGATCACTCACATTTGGTACATTGCCCTTTCCTTCACCCAAATCAATACTTGTCTTTACCTATATAACAGTGTTCCCTCCCCTCCCCTACTCTCCAGATAACCAACAAAGAAAGTTTCCTTCCATATGGAAACCTTCTTTGACTTTTTATAATAGTAAAAGAATACAATATTTGTCCTTCTCTGCTTGACTTATTTCACTCAGCATAATGCCCTCCAAGTTCACCCATATTATGCAATGTTTTGCAGATTCTACATTATTCTTTAATGTTGCATAGTATCCCATTGTGTGTATGTACCACAGTTTGGTTATCCATTCCTCAGTTGATGGACACCTAGATTGTTTCCATCTTTTGGCTATTGTAAATAGTGCTGCAATGAACATGGGTGTGTATATATTGTCCTGGCTGTCACTTATTTAGGATACATACCTAGTAATGGAGTAGCTGAGTCAAACGGTACTTCTAATTCTACCTTTTTAAGGAAATGCTGTAGTTATTTCCACAGTGGTTATTTCATTTTAAAGTCCCACCAGCAGTGTATGAGAGTCCTAATGTCTCCATAACCTTGACAGCATTTGTTATTTTCTGTCTTGTTGAACTTTGCTATTAGGGCTGGGATGAAATTGTGTGTCATTTTTGTTTAGATTTGCATCTCTCTAATGGCTAATGATCATGAACATCTCTTCATGTGTTTGTTGTCTGCCTGAATATCATCTGTGGTTAAGTGTCTATTCATGTCTTCTGCCCATTTTTTAATTGGATTTTTTTGTCTTTTTGTCATTGAGGTGTTGGAGTGTTCTATACATTTTAGGGATAATACTAATGTCAGTTACGTTATTGGCAAATATTTTTCCCAATCTGTAGGACCTTTTTTTACTCTTTCAAAGAAGTCTTTTGAAGCACATAAAAATATAATTTTCAGAAGGTCCCATTAATCTAGTTTATCTTCTACTGTTTGTGCATTTTGGGTTATGCTTGAGAGTGCATGCATGCCATAGATTAGGACCCCTAAGTTTTCCCCTATTTTTTTTTCCTGGAGGAAATTTATAGTTTTAGGTTTCGTATATAAATTTTTGATCTATTTGGAGTTAGTTTTTGTATATGGTATGAGGTATAGAGCTTGTCTCGCTTTCCCAGCACCATTATGAAAGAGACTATCTCTTCAACATTGAATGAACTTTGGACCTTTTTAAAAATTCAGCTGATCATAGGACAATGTATCTATTTCTGGGTTCTCAATTCTGTTCCACTGGTGTATGTATCTGTCATGGTACAGACACCAGGCTGTTTTGACTAATGTGGCTGTATGGAAGGTTTTGAGATCTGGGAGTAGGAGACCTCCTGCTATGTTCTTCTTCATCAGTAATGCTTTGGTTATCCACAGTCTTCCCTTTCTGTATAAAATTAGTAATTTTTTTTTTCCATATCCCTGAAGAATGTTGATGAGATATGGATTGGTATTGCATTGAATGTATAGATTGTTTTGCTTAGTATTGATATTTTCACAATATTCAATCTTCCTTCCCATAAGCATGGTATATTCCTCTGTTTATGTAGATCTCTTATGGTTTCTTGAAGTATTATTTTGTGGTTTTCTTTGTACAGATCTTTTGTGTCCTGGCAAGATTTATTTCCAAACATTTTATTGTTTTTGGTAACTATTATAAATAGCATTGATTTCCTTATTTCCTTTTCAGAAACCTCTTGGCTGGTATACAAGAATCCAACTGATTTTTGTATGCTGATCTTGTATCCTGCCACTATGCTAAATCTCTCAATTAGTTCTAATAGTTTTCTTGCTGAATCTCATAGGTTTCCTATGTACAGGCTCATATCATCAGCAAATAAGTATAGTTTTACTTCTTCCATACCAATTGGGATGCCTTTGATTTCCCTTTTGTGCATTATTTTCCTGGCTAGGACTTCCAATACAATGTTGAATAGCAGTGGTGATAGACAGCATTCTTGTCTGGTTCCTGTTCACAAGGGAAATAGCTCAGTCTCCCTTCACTGAGAATAATGTTGGCTATTGGAAGACTGGGCAATCTACTTCTGTAGAGACACCACCTCAGAACCCCAAGAAGGGGTCACTATGAATTGGACTCAACTTGATGGCAGTGAGATTTTTTTTTAATTGATTTTGTATATATGCCCTTTATTATGTTAAGGAATTTCTATTCCTATTTTTCTGAGTTTTTATCAGGAATGGGGGTCAATAATTATCAGATGCCTCTACTGCATTAGTTGATATGTTGATATGGTTCTTTTTCTTTATTTCACTTATAGATTACATTGATTGTTTTTCTAGTGTGGAACCATCCTTGCATACCTGATATACAACCCACTTGATTGTACTTCATTCCCACTCTTCAAAACCATGCACAATATTTGAAGGTTTTTTTCAAATGTCATATCCATGAAAATGTTCCCAATTTATAATCCACCCTACCTACTATTTACCCTGAAACCTTTCACAACCCCATGCAAACTCTTTCCTTTTCCTCCTTTTGGATACCAGCATTACTTTGCTTTATCTATTTTCTTAGCTCTGCTCACACTCCTCTTTCTATTGGAATGACTTATGGGCAAGTCATTCCCCACGTTAAATTGTGGATTTTTGTGATTATTTTATTTGTTTTTATACCAGCTGCTTTACTATGTGTTTTGCACATCACATGTATTTAATAAATATTTCTCAAAATGTATTTCCTAAGTGTGAAGTCATTTCTAGGTTGCACTTCATACACCCTCAGCCTCTACAACTTGCAGGACCATGACCTGAAACAGGCCCTTCAAATACAAGTTTTGACCTCTAATTTGTGGCCACACCAAATGTAAAGGATGCACTTGTATTCATAGAGCTAAGACCTAACTAGACACGTTAACTCTTGATTTTGTGAAAAGAACTATGATGATATTGTAACATTAGATATCCCAGTTTTGTCAACAAGTAAAATGTATGTAGTAATATATGTCAATATCTCCCTTTTCTGAAACCAAATATCCCTGATCTCTATGTGAAGGTTCCCCAGTCTGACATGACAGTTAGAGGAGGAGGGCATAGAGGGGACATGGGAATCAATTGCTTCATTACTCAACTGGCTTTTTCTATTAGATGTGACACTACCATCGTATTGTCTAGACACATTCAAGTAGCTGAGAAATATAATTTCAGTATTTTGACTGTATAAAAAAATCTCAATACAGTAAAATAGAGATACTTTAATATCAAAAGTTTAAAGATAGACAACATGCTAAATATTATTTTATTTTTAGTGTCAACATCTAATACCATTTAAAAGGATTAAAATGTGATTTGACTGAATGACAATTAAGGTTTTATAATATATATTTCCAGATATAAGTCATACTAATATCATTTTCACTGCAATATGTCACTTGTCGTAGAATCAACCCCATGTCAGTTTTCACATTTGTCCCTATTTAATATTTAATTTCATCAATCTACTGATGAGTTAGAAATAAGAGTATAGTATTTCTCTGTATTTTAATACTGTTCTTAGAATCTTGGCTTCATATTTTCAAAGAGAAGGTTCTGTGCAATGCACTTCTTTGGATTCTGTCTTATCTATGAACAATGTGGTTTTAAGATGCTATGTGATGATAACATATTGAAACATATAATGCCTTTTAGGCTCTTGATCATTTTTTAGATTTTATAATATATCTTTATTTAGTGTATCATAAATTAATAACCAATACATGAACATATTGATAGTGCTATTTTCAAAATAAATATGTGACTATATTTATATGAAAAACCCTATTAAATTTCCTTTTATCTTGATATTTTCACTAACATGAAAATTGATAAGGCAATAAAATAGATAGCATATGCTCTAATGTGAAATATATAGAAAAGATGAAAATTAACACATTAATTAATATAGTTAACAAAGTTACTTTAATTATAAAACTGATTTTCATTAATGGTACTGCACATTAACATTTTTTTAGTGGTTTTGTGCCTATGGCATTTGACTATTAACCAGAAGGCTGGTGGTTCAAACCCACCAGCCACACCTCAGAAGGAAGATTAGGCAATCTACTTCCATAGAGATACCACCTTGGAAACCCAAAGCGGGGTTGCTATGAGTCAAATCGACTGGATAGCAGTGAATTTGGGTTTTTCTGGAATATATTATTTTGACTAGTTTTTCTTTTCTGTAGTGTAACTGAAAGTAGCAAACAATTCAATATATAGTAGATAGAACTTTGAGCATTCCTTAATGTTGATAATAGTTTTAATAAAGTAATAGAATATGAATGCAAACATGTAAGATGTCTGTGTATTAAGCTAATATAATTATATCCAAAAGGAACTTTTGTGACCCATGAAATACGTGACAACTGTTTTTTTTTTTGCAAAATTTAACGCCAAATGGATAATTTTGCCAAGCTCATTTTTTTTTCTTTTGCAAATTGAGTTTAAACAAATGAATATAGTTTTTGGTGAAGACAATTTCAATGTATTTAACATTGATTGTAGCAAAAAAATGTGATACAAACAATTTACTGTTTTGTAAGGTATTACAGAAATAAATACCATGTAAAAATTAGTACTGAAAATCTGTGATAGATAATGAATACTCTCTCTACATCATAAACACACACATATCATATGTGAATTATAAATATTTTTCATTTGAATATTCTCCTTTAGTTTACAATTAAATTCAAACAAAATTGTCCCATAGAAACAATAAAGTTTCATGTTATATATAAACCCCATGATTTTAGTGTGTGAGAAATACTCCTTTTTATTTAAGAATCCATATTTCATTATTCTTTTCAAATAATTTATGTAAGTAAAATTATAATAAAATCTGGTCTCATTTTGGAAAAAAAAATCACTGCACTGTTGATTTTTAAAGAATTAGTAGGTTTACAAAAACAAAGAGGCAAGTGGTAAATTGGTAAATGTGTTTGGGAAGTAGCTTGCATGACATGGAATGACATATAAAGATGCTATAAAGGACAAGACATACCTTGTATTCTTTTTCTTGATTACTGATTCTGTGTTTGTGTGTCTGATATTTTTTTCTTTTAATAATACTCATGAAACTAATAGGTAATATATGTTTTAACATTATATGCCGAGAATTTGAGTAAGACTTTAATAATCCATCTTTGGTTAATATTTAATGATAAGATATAAAAACTTAACATGCTCTTGCCTACACCTAATATTTTTTATAGTGGTTTGATTATAAATATAGCAAAGGGAGATAGTAATACAATGGAAAGACATGGTTCAGATGGAACAGGGTGGATACTGGGACCCACGGTTCCCTAGGCAAGATCAAAAGCTCCTCTTATTGTTTTATTAACAATAAAATTGTACTAATATTGTCTTTCTTCTATAATAAAATACAAATATTGGTATTGAGTAATATATTGCATAGAGCAATTATTATCTGAACTGTCACATAGTCTTTGATACATGTTGCCTATTGTTAATGATAGTGAATCAATCATACTGGCAGTAACATTTTTTTTTTTCTATTTTGTCCAGTGCAAGACATATGCGTGTGTTCAAGAAAGTCATCTAATGGGACTCACTATTGACTTTAGCACAGGATTTATCTGCTTTGATGCTGCAACAAAGGTAATGTGTTTGGATCAGCTCTATGAAATGTGCTGAAGACATTTAACTTAAGACTCACTGAATTGTTTTCTAACAACTACTTTCAGCATTTTGATTGGTTTTCATGTGTGAAATTTAAAATCCTCATATTCATTAATAGACTATAAATGATTTTATCAGTTTATAGGAAACAAAAATTTAAATAGTTACAAAACAAATACTTTACAACAAAATACTATTATAATATTAAAATAAGTGTATATGTTATGGAAAACTTAACTGAAGGAAAATTTTCTTCTGACAAGATGAATTTTCTAAAGTAATCTTTTATGATTTTTCTGCATCAGCATCAACAAGATCAGTGCAGAAAAAAATCTTTTTTTTTTCCAGTTGTAATAGCTAATATGTTAGAATAATAGTACGGAATAATTTAGAATGTTAAAAATGAAATACAATTTTTATAAAATAAAGAATTTTACTCAGATTCAAAGATTTGCAAATTGAGAAGCAACTAAAAAATATGCAAAGTGGTGTTCTAGAGGAGTATAAAACCAGATCTTTGATACACAATTTTGCAGAACTTTGTACTGAGTTGAGAAGAGTATAGGGGTATATTTGATTGGTTGACATCTCATTGACTCATTTATCAAGAATTCACATTGCCCAAAGTGCTCAACTTAGCTACAGTTCCTTGTCTTCAAAAGCTCGTTCATTCTGTTTTCTTCCACATTCGGGGTTGTGGGGGGCACCTCAGAGGGTTGTAGAACAAGTTATATTAGTCAAGAGTGTAGTCATGAGTCACATAATCTAAATCGTAGAAACAAGGCTTAGGTCAAAATGGATTCCAATTCAAACCTGTATCAGCCATTTCAATTATGTCAAGCATATCGTATTTAGATTATTCTTTCAATCTAAACCTTCCCTCTTTTGATCTAGAAGCTCCATTGAGATTCCTTAATCACCATTGTAAAATTGATTTTTTTCTAGGTGAAATTATTGTCGGATTGATCCTTTTTATAAGTTTGATCTTTAATCAACTTTTCAGTGTGTCATAGCTCAGACATTCTGCTTCTATGATCTTCCAGTTGGGGTACATGAAGAGCAAGGCCACATTTGTAGGAACAACTTAAAATACAAACTTGCTAACTCAAGGTGTGAGGTCCTTTAAAAGCTTAGTTTCTAAAAAAAAAAAAAAAAAAAAAAACCTTACTTTCTTCAGGATATATAACCAACTGCCTTGCAAGGGAAAGGACAGTTTGGTTAGAAGCATTGCACAGGTATTGCATACAACATTTTATAAGACCTGCAATAAATAATACAGAAATAAAAATGATCAATCTGCTTTGTAGTGTAGGGCACAAGCAGGAACCAATATTATTGGTAACCTACTAAGGATATCTTAAAAAATAAAAAAAAAAAAAAAAAAAAAAGGTAGAGCTGGGCATATGAGGTATTGAATGTACCAAAGTAGCTTCCTGGAGGATTTTTGTAATATTATGTTCTGTTTCTTCTGTGATATTTGTCCAGGTTCAGCAGGAAGTATTAGCATTGGCACAAATTCCTCCTTGTTGAATTAGAGAAAAATCAAGAACAATCCTATTATCTTAAACAACTTTAGCAAGAAATTCTAAAGATTTCTGATGGACAGACACTCATCTGCAATGTTATCAGCAATTTAAACCATTTAGTAGATAAATTGTGAATAGATTTTTAAACTGAAGAATATCATCTTGTTTTTTGTGTCATTGAAGTGATTCTGATTCTGACTTATGACTCTATGCACAATAGAATGAAATACTGTTCAGTCCTACATCAAACTCACAATCAATATTATGCTTGAGCCAATTGTAGTAGCCACTGTGTCAATGCATCTCATTGAGAGTCTTCCTCTTTTTTGCTTACCCTCTACTTTACCAAGCATGATATCATTCTCCAGATAGTTTTCCATGAAAGACTGCTCTACCTGTGAGATACCAGCTTAATAGTAGGTCATCAGTCTATTGCAATACTTAAGGATATCTACATTAACTATAAGTAATGTGACTTAAGAAAATAGGTCTTCCTGTGACTATTTCATGAGGAGAGAGATTGTGTATTCTAAATGAAGAGGATCTAAGATTTAATAACACCCAAGGAAGTACTTTAGGCCATGACAACTCTAGTTTCTCATTTAATTTGGCTAAATGTTATTTAATAATTCCATTGGTACATTCTACATATCCAGAGGAGTAGGGATAATAAGTAGCATGCAAAAATTTAGTGATTGCTAAGATTTTATACAATTGTTATAACCTTTCCAGTAATATACATCACTCTGTCACTGAGGAATGTGGTGGAGGTTCTACATGATAGTATGATATTTTCTAGAACCTTTATAACAACAAAGCTGGCAGTTTCTTGGCAAGAGAGATAAGCTTCAAAACAATGAGAGTACGTAGAAATTACTAACACAATATTTTTCCAACAAAAGGAGAAAGTTGAATGAAATCTATATACCATTCCAAGACCCAGAGTTGGAGGAAATTCTCCTGGTGATGCTTTCAAGGGCTTCCTTGGATTTTGCCACTGACAAGTTTGACATTGAACATTAATTTGTTGTGCTGTGTTGTGGAAAATGTCTCACCAATGTTTTTGTCCAATTTGGACTACTTTATCAACAACGTGGTGTCTTAGCAAATGAATTGTGTGCAGCATAGTCACTTTTAGGCTTTCTTGTAATGCAGGTTTTGGATTTAGTGCCACCGATAAATTTAATTTTTTGTCATATTTCACCCTTGTGATTTCTGTTGATTTAACCTCTCACTTGGTGCTTGTGATTCTTTAATGGATAATTCATAGGGTGGAATTCACATTTAAGAGGTAGTGACTACTTTCAGCTTATACATAGGTATAGGAATACAGATACATCTGCAGCAGCTCCTGAGATTAAATGAAATATTTTAGCAGAACATGCTGCTAGAGCTGCTGCAAATGTATGTCTCTCTATCTTAATGACAGAAATTTCTTTCCAAAAGTAAAGCATCTAAAAATTGACATAATTGGGGTCCATTTTTATTTTTATTTGTTGTCACCATTAGAGGTTAAAAATTGTTGCTACTATCATAGCATTACAAAGTCATGCTATTCATGAAAATATTAACTTTTTCATGTTTATCTATATGACTAGCTCAAATTATGGCTATTACTCCATCTTATGGTGTGGAGTGGTGTACTTCAGAAAGTTGAGAGCTTCTTGACATACCAATGTGAGTAGTTACAGCATCTATAACTTGGTAAGAACCATTATAAGTCTTAAATAAGATCAAATACAATTTTTCAGTAAGTAAAACAAGATCTGGATGATGTAAAATAATATATTTAAATCACTCCTAGGAACTAGCAGTAGTTCAGTCAAATCTAAATAACTATGGTCAGGATTTCTGTCATCAGGCAAAGAAAGTAGCAGGTTTAAGTAGCACAGATGAATGTGCAGAGGAGATAAAACAAGAATTTCACAAGTGAGTCAGCTAACAAAGAGATTCTGAATAAAGGCATTTATTAAAGACTCTACCAAATGTTAGAGGAGCACATCTAAATCATTTCTCATAAAAATGGCAGCAATGGATTCAAACAGTTTGGGAGTATCTGCAACTGTTCTCAAGCAACAGTGTAGGCTCTGCCTATAGGACCTAATTGGTGACTATAATATCCAATAGATCTCTGCTGATATCCACATTATTGAATAAAGCTTCCTGGAGCTCTGGTAGCATAGTGCCTAAGGCACTTGACTGCTAACCAGAAGGCTGATGGTTCAAACCCACCAGCCACTCCTCAGAAGGAAGGTTGGGCAATCCTACTTCCGTAGTGATACTGCCTCGGAAACCCAAGGAGGGGTCACTATGATTTGGGGCCGACTTGACAGCAAATAACAACAACAACAACAGGCGTTTCCTTTTCTTTCATAATAAACAATGAAAAAGTTTTGTTAAACTAGGTAAGCTTAAGCCTGGATTGGTTAGAGTCCTCTTAAGTTCAGGAAAATATTCTATTTCTAAAGAGTCCATTGCAGAGGCACTGGTCTCTCTGTTTTAAGCAAAGCATAAAGTAGGTAAGCAATAAAATAAAAGTATGGAATCCAGTTGTGATAGTATCCACAAAGGCCCAAATTGACTCTAAGCTGTTATTATTATTATTTTATAATTATTATATTTGACAAGGAATGAATACAAATAATTTGAGGTATTTTTTTAAATCTAATTAGATCCCTTATGAATGTAGATATGACCTAAATGTTTATCTTGGATTTTAACAAATTGAAATTTATCTTTAGAGGCTTTGTGCTCTTTAGTGATCAAGCAGTTAAGCAGATACATAAAATCTACACAATCTGAGGGATTCCTGGAACAAACAAACAAACAAAAAAATCATCTACACACTGAATGTGGAGAGAATTATTTGGAAACATTTGTTGTTGTTGTTATGTACCGTCGAGTCGGCCCTGATTTATAGCGACCCCTCCTTTGGTTCCTGAGGCAGTATCACTATGGAAGTAGATTGCCCGACATTCCTTCTGAGGAGTGGCTGGTGGGTTTGAACCACCACCTTTCTGGTTAGCAGTCAAGTGCCTTAGGTACTATGCTACCAGAGAAACATTACGTCTTCTAAATCAATTTTAAAACTTGGGAGGGTCAGTAAAGTGATGAGTTATGACAATCCAGGAATATTGGTGTCCAGTCCAATGAAGGCAAATAAATATTGATTAATGTGTCAGCCCCAAGCTTACAGGTGAGGAGAGACAACGCAGGGATGCCAGAGTAGCAGGCCGGAAGAGCAGGGATAATTCA